CTATTAGAAACACCAAAAGCGATAAGCTGATATGACGCACTGGTGCTAGCTACATGCCTGGTAACCCTGGACACTTCTACACCAATCAAACTCTGTGCGTGGCACCTCACTACAATCGACGTTCACCCGACGTGCCGACTGTATCTTAGGAGTGAATATGTAATGTTTATAAAATTGGATAGCCAGCACTGCAACCTCAATTGACGTTTCAGAGGGTCTGTTTGAGGAGGAGTTCCGAGACCCAGCGTGACTCTGTGGTAGAATGCTTGATTGTCACGCGGAATGCTTGGGTTCGATTCCTCCTGGGACCCAAACCTTTGATCGTTTATTTATTTATTTCAGTACCTTCAGGGCCCGAAGGCGTTACAGAAGGGAGTGGGTAATAGTATACATAGTAATAAGAACAATAAGAGGGAACAAAGAAAAATGCTGCATTCAACGCAGCCTTAAAAGCAGTGACATCGGTCGATTGGGCAACAGAGGAGGGTAGGTGGTTCCATTCGTTCGAGGCTGTGGGAATAAAGGAATCGTGAAAGAACTTGGTATGTGAAAAAGGAAGGTGTACCTTGTGGGGATGGTCACATCTATATGACATGTAGTGTGGTTTGGAAAGAAGGCCTTATTTTAGTTGTGAATTGTGGTAAATTTTATAAAAAAGAACAAGACGAGACACTTTCCTACGCGAACAAAGAAGAAGGCCCGAAACTGTTTTCATAGATGATACGTTAGATGTGCGTGCATAGTCTGAGAGGACAAAACGTTCACTCCGATTTTGGACGGATTCTAAGGTTTCAACCAGTGTGTTAATGTCGGCGTCCCATACAGCGCTTGCGTACTCAAGCTTAGGGCGAACAAGGGTTTTATATAGAATGAGTTTAAGAGCTTAAGGTGAACGGGTGAACGCTGCCAATGCCAGCTTTTTCTTAACGCTAACACGGTGAAATAACTCATGTGCGTTACGTTGTTTGTGTGTATATATGAACTGTCCATGGCACGTTCCCGCGGGTACCAGTGGCATGTTCTCGCCCGCGGGTATACATGTGCCACTGTCTGGTGGGAAGTGTTAGACAACGTAGGTGATATTCACGTCTTGACCAGCGCTTCATATTCGTCAAACCGCCTTACCCTCTTGTACTAATTTTGAATCACACCAAGTTAATAGGTTGATCACGAGAGCACCCAGACGTAAGCGCATAGATAGATAGATAGATAGATAGATAGATAGATAGATAGATAGATAGATAGATAGATAGATAGATAGATAGATAGATAGATAGATAGATAGATAGATAGATAGATAGATAGATAGATAGATAGATAGATAGATAGATAGATAGATAGATAGATAGATAGATAGATAGATAGATAGATAGATTGATTGATTGATTGATTGATTGATTGATTGATTGATTTGTGGTTTTTAACGTCCCAAAACCACCATATGATTATGAGAGACGCCGTAGTGGAGGGCTCCGGAAATTTCGACCACCTGGGGTTCTTAACGTGCACCCAAATCTGAGCACACGGGCCTACAACATTTCCGCCTCCATCGGAAATGCAGCCGCCGCAGCCGGGATTCGATCCCGCGACCTGCGGGTCAGCAGCCGAGTACCTTAGCCACTAGACCACCGCGGCGGGATAGATAGATAGATAGATAGATAGATAGATAGATAGATAGATAGATAGATAGATAGATAGATAGATAGATAGATAGATAGATAGATAGATAGATAGATAGATAGATAGATAGATAGATAGATAGATAGATAGATAGATAGATAGATAGATAGATAGAAAAAGTACTTCCAGCACGCAAAGAAATGCTTTGCATTTAATGAATGAGAAAAAGATCGTGCATAAGTGACGACTAAAGGTTACCGAGTCCTAGCGGCTTCCTTGGCCCACTGGACGGCGCAAAGTTAGTCGTCAAAGGCAGATATGTGCAACACAGTCCCCCAGTTGGCGCGAAGGTGATAGCTAGAGGCCTTTTTGTAAATAAATTGACTCTCCAGTTTCTGAGCATTTTTATTGTCAGAGTAATTTTCTACAGCAACGTAATCATAATTGAGCAAGCGGATTCATACTTCTATGGGAATGACTTCCAACAATTATTCGATATAGTTAACGGTATATTATTGGCGATCCCTTATCTACTTTGCGTATCTAAGGCCAGCATAACAAAAAAAAAAAACATTTGTGGCTCTCAAGTCCGCAGCATTCCACGAAGCTCGTGCTTTAAAGCGGCATTTTCCACGATCAGCAACCTTGTTCTTGATTTCAGCTCATGGAACGACCTGAGGTTTCAGAGTTTGTCTTACGGACAGCGCGATATACTTGTCGGTAAATACAAATACGACATTCAAAAGATCAATCTCAAAGAGGGGTCACTTGCAATGATCGAACTGCTAATTCTCATTGAAGTTAAATTTTTGCTGCAGAGTGTGCAGTACTGAGAATTGGTGAGTATAAGTGCTTCTCATTCGCTTGCAGGAAGTTTAGCGGCGCTGGGGTTGGTAAATAATTATGATGATCAATGGCGATGGTGATTACACTAACGAATAACCATGACCTTGTCGGTCATAGTAAACGAATCCCCTTTTATATGGCTAGGGGGGAAGGAGAAGGGGGTGGGGAGGTGGAGAGTCCTGCCAACCTCTCGTGAGCACGTCTGAGGGAGGCACCGGAAGGCACCGCCATTGTGAGTGGATTGTTTCAATGCAGGTGAGCTGTCCTGAAGTAGTAGCATTTGTCCCGGACATTGTACTGCCTTTGCGTTACTGGTTCCCTTAAAAAAACCCGAAGCCTTGGAGAGTTCTATTCGACATCATGTTACCTAATATGCTGACCCGAATTAAGCACTCTTGTTGGAAGCGGCATGCCCTTGTCTTATAATTAACCCAGATCGTGCGTTGGCGAAAGCGGGGACACTTCATTTCTAATCGTGCATCATTAGAAATGGCTACGTCTTTGAGGTAAACCCTATACAAATGCTGACTTCGCTGATGCTACTGGCCACCATCTCGAACTCAAATGGACATTGTAGAGCCGTCAAGTAAAAGCACCGGTCAACTCCCCTTCCGAAACAACGAGTCCTGTGCCTCGAGTTTTCCCCGAAATTCTTCAAGATAAACTGTCCGCGCGTTTCTAACTGGTAAAAAGATTTTTTTTTTTAATTTCGCGTGAGTGTTACTAGCGTTCAGATGTCAGATTCCAATGTGGAATCTGAACGCTAGTAACACCCGCGAAAAAAGAAAGAAGAGAAGCCTTGTGGGGCTTTCTTTAACTTCCCCTGTCGTTACTGGTAGGATGTCGAATTCCTCTGGTTTATTCTTGTCTCTCCCGATATCATCCCGGTTCTTTTGGCTTCTGTACAGCTCTCTGTAACACTTCTCCGCCTTCTCGACTATCCTATACACATTGGTTATGACATTGCCTTCCTTATTACTTAATGCATCCGATTTTTGCCTATGCACCTCTCTGCGCTCGCAGCTTTTAGGATTCTGCCGCTTTTTACAGCCTGCTCAATTTTCTCCACGTTGTACCTTCTGATCTCGGCTACCTTACGCCTGTTGATCGAAAGCTCCACTATATCTTTATTTTGTTGGTTACATTTGAAGCTATCGTGGGTTGTCGTCTCTTAATGAGATTTTTTGTCTCCTGAGATAGTTTGCCAGTGTCCTGTCTAGTGACTGTACCTCCGACTTCCATTGCACACTCTTCGTTGACACTAGTAAGATTATTCTTCATTGCGTCAATGCTAACGTCGGTCACCTCGTTTAGAGCCTCGAATCTGTTCTAAAGAGAAACTCTGAATTCCCGTACCTTCCTTCTCACCGTTAGCTGATTAATTGGCTTCTTGTGTATCGTAGTATGTCTTTTCTTTTTTATATCTAGGTGAATACCTCCCTTGCGAAAGCGCCAATTTATTTATTTATACCCCTAAAGTAAGGGGTTTTACATTGCAGGCGCATCTATGATAATGACAGACAGCGCACAAAAATTGAAGGAGACTGTGGATTCCAAAGTGTACGGGGTCGGGCGGAATGGGACGCGCAGTGCACGTCTCCCATTTTGCACGAGTGCAGTGTTGAGCACCGCGCTGGTACGCAAGCAAAACACGAGCGTTGTTGAGTCCGACGCGAAGCGCTCAACGCGTCCCAGTTTTTTTTTTTTTTTTTTTTTTTTTTTTTTTTTTTTTTTTTTTTTTACCGGAGTTTGTGTTTAACACTGTACGGCTGCTCCAGAAGCCGCCAAGCCACTCCCACCAAACGTGGTTCAGCCGGTAGCCGTCAGGCGGTGACACCGTTCAATATCGCTGGCAGGCGTTGAGGAAATAGGCGGAGTCGGACATGCGCACACGGCTCTCCCCCGTCGCGCGCGTCTACATGTTGTTTGTTGGTGGCGGTGTTCCGCTGTTGTGGTGCCACGGCTTCGCCCGTTCTGCATAACGGAAGGAGGGAGACCAGTGCTCAGTTGAACCGTCATCGTGTCCCGGCGTGCTACGGCCATGCCGCGTCGTCGTTCAAGGAGAAGACGGAGAGCACCCGCGACGGATTCTGGCTTGGAGAAAAGCTATTTCTCCGGCTCCAGCTTAAACTACAGAAGTCCGTGCACGAAACGCGAGGGTCGCCCGTGCGGCGTGTTCAAGGACATATCCATCTGGAACGAATACTTCTGGCAGGTGGGCCTCGAACTTAGGGAGCTTTCCCCGGCCGAACTGTCTCTCGTTGAAGTGGATGATGCATTCGTTCCCCTGGAGTTGGCGCAACGTAAGCACGAGGCTGCAATGCTTCTGCACCGTCTGCTTGTTTACCATCGCTGTCTGGTTTCCGTGGCCCTGAACAGCTCTATATTTGAATACGACCGGAAACTATGCGACGCGTTGCCACAGAGTTCCAGCCTTCGCAAGCTCGCGCTTTCCCTGGCGGGTCACCTACCTCCTTAAGTCTGACGACAATAAAGTTGTGTTCTCTCTCTCTCCCTGCCATTGACGACCTCGAGTGGGCTGCTGAGCTTCAGCGCGACGCTGCCACTCCAGACCCGCCTGCAAGAGTTCGAGTGCCGGTTGATAGACCTGAAGCAGTCTATGTGCGCGGGCCTCTCGAAGTTCCTGGCAAACGCCAAATCACTGAGGACGCTAAAGCTCAGTGCACAATCCCTCTCGGGTAGGGACGGGACACTCATTTTGGAAGGACTGAGGCGGAACGCGGCGATTAGGACGCTCTCGCTCAACATGACTATAGTGAGCGCGTTGGTGGCTCCAAGCAACGGCGCGTTCACCGACTACCTGAGAGAGAACCGGACGATGCGCAAGCTGATCGTGAAGTCGTACTACCCGGACGACTTCGCCGCTCTGCATCAGGTCCTCCGCGCACTGTTCCGCCCGGCCACCATCTCCGAGCTCGAGCTCATTGGCTTTATGTTGGACGAGGCTAGCAGCCGCCTCGTCGCCGAGCTAATCGGCGAAAACCGGTCGCTGAGTGGCCTAAGCATGGTGGACTCCTTCTTTTACGGAGGCGCAGGAACGACCGAATACAAAGACAAGTGCCTCAGGATCACTCCCTGGCTAGCAGCCCTCGGCACGAACGGGACGCTGAAGAAGCTGACCATGGAGTTGGCATGCTTCAGTCTGGACGAATGCAGGTCTCTCTTCCAGGCGGTGAAGTCGAACGCATCTCTGAAGAACATCACCGTGGACAGCATCCGGCACGAGGACGTGGCCGGGATATGTCGGGCCCTACGGGAGGCAGGGGTGCGGGAACGCTTCCTCTTCGGCAGGCATCACGTCGTCAGGAGCCCCGCCGTGACGCTGAAAGAGTGCAAGGAGCTGTCCCGGGTCACCATCGATTCGATCGTGCTCTGCCGTCCCGACCAGCTGCGCACAGCCTTGTGCCTGTTGCCTTCGTGCAGCCACGTGACCTCTCTGATCCTCGCCGTGTGGCAACCGTTGTTTAACCGCGACGTATGCGCCCTGATTGCGCAGTACATTACGGCCACGACGGTGCTGAAGGAACTGAAGTTGACTTTGGCCTCTATAACCTCGTACCCCGCGGACCGCGTCGAGAGGGCGCTGATGCAAGCACTGTGTGCCAACGAGAGCTTGCGCCAGCTGTGCATGACTGGGCTCCGCTTCAACGAGGCCGAGGTTCAGATGCTGGTGGACAAGTTGCAGGCAAGTCGGACGCTCTGCGAGCTGACGTTCTACCCGGACGACTACGACTCGACCATCTGGCTGGTGCAAAAGCTGTCGCCGATCGTCTCGAGGAACTACACGCTCGTCCGCATAGAGCTGCCCAGGCATGTGGTGTTGCGCGCCGACTTGTTCAGTGTCGACGACGCCGTGCGACGCAACGCGTCGCTGGTGTCGCGAGCGGCGCACTTCGTGGCCGGAAGGAAGCTGAGATACTGCGCGGCCGCTCTCGAACAGATCCACTGGAACCCCGCGTTGGTGGCCAAAGTGCAGGCGCTCGCACGCGTCGACGAAAACGAGGCCGCGTCGCGAATCAGCAAGATCGCCAAGACTTTGCCCGAGTTGGACGGCTTCATGCGCGCAGCGGGTGTGGTCAAGTACAGTGTGGTCTGCCACGCGCGCGACGACGGTCAGAAGCAGTTGGTGGACATTGATGGCGACTGCTGGCTTCACATTCGGCGCTACCTCAAGATAGACGACGTCGTGGATTGAAGAGTACAGTGCGGACTTTGCTCGTGTGGCATAGCTATGCGCAGTGTGTCCGCTGTTGTATGAATTGAAACTCGCTGTTTTCGCGTGCCAATATTCATCATCTGCCTATTTGCGCCCACTGCAGGGCAAAGGCCTCTCTTATGATCCGCTAATCAACCCGGTCCAGCGCCTTCCGTCGCCACTTTATCCCTGCGAACTTTTAAATCTCATCTGCCCACCTAACTTGTCTCCCCTTCATGCTTTTGCCTTCTCTGGGAATCCATTTAGTTACCTTTAAAGACCAGCGATTATCCTTCCTACGTGCGGGGCCCATGTTCATTTGTTCTTGATTTCAACTATGATATCCTTAACCGCAGTTGGTTCCCTGAACGACTCTGCCCTCTTTTTTTTTCTTAAGGTTACGGGTATCACTTTGCTTTCAATCGCTCGCTGCGTCGTCCTCAATTTAGGCTGAACCCTCTTTGCAAGCCTCTAGGTTTTTGCTCCGTAGGTATAAGTACGGACAAGATGCACCCGTTATGGTACGCCTTCCTCCTGAGGGTTGGCGGCAGATTACCATTCATGATTTCATATTGCGAACTCCTAACTGTGTATTTATGCCATTTTATGAGTGCTGCTGAAGTATGGTGAATATTCCGCATTCCTTGCCTATATAAAATATCAGATCCTCACTCGTGACTTGATGTATATTGGTATTCTCATTAGGATTTGGACATTCGATGTTGCCAAAATATTTCATATGCATTGACTGTGTCATTAAAAACAGTTTCATAAATTTGCGACCATTTGAACCCTTGAATCATCGACATCTCGCGTGCTATCATTTGTTGAAGCAGGCACGCGTGGTTAACTGCACGTGTCCGCTTTTCGGTGAATGTTCCGAGCCCCTCGAATTCTTTTAAAAAACGTGCGAAGTCATGTACAAGTCGTCCTGCTGAACGGCAGCTTGTTACACTCGAGAACAGAAAACGAAACGTGATACAAAGATCCTTTAGTACCGTCGCTCCCTTCTCGGAATGAACCGATGACGAGCACTTCCTTGTAATTCATCATGCGCCGTTATACCGAAAGGTAAACAAAACTGCACAGTCACCGGAAAGCCAGCACACGTAGTTAGCCGCGATGAAGCTCATTGCGTGAAGGTGCCTTCTGAGCGTAGCGTTCGAGTCACCTTCACTTGTTAAACGGCTGCTCGTGAAAACGTTGCCAAAATCGCCTTGCTTCAGTGTGCAGCAGTTTGAGCGAACACGAGTACAAATATGCTCGTGCACGTCTTATTTGCTTAGAAAGGCGAACGCAAACAAATGTTACGGGACCATTAGCCGGAGCACATGCTGGAAACTTCATCAGCTCGAAAAAAACAAGAGGCAAAGTTTACGGCTCACCTTTTTTTTTTTCATGGGCGTTCCGAGTTACTCTCCGTGTGCAGCAAGGGACGCATTGAGTCGTCAGCATCCCGATTATCAGCCAATACACGCCTCTCGTCGATGCGACTTACGTACTATCGGCGTCAAATGAAACCCGAACAGCGGAACGCGTGTTTCAAGCATTAGAAAGAGTATAGTGTTGGCCCTCCGGTCATCACCATTGACAGGCGTGCACATCCGCTTTGGCAGCACTGCGCGATCCCCCCTAGAGCGCGTTATCTCTGTTTCCGCTCTAGTTTTCGTAAGGTGATAATGGTGGCCATCGTGGGCGCACCTAGCGCTTTTGATCGTATCACTCGCAATGCCTTGCTTTCACTTCAGCGCCGCAGTGCAATCGGTGTCTTGGCACGATAAAACAAAAAGATAAATACAATCGGTCTGTGGTTAATTTCCAAATGATCGTCGTATCTCGTTCGCCAGCGCTGCTTCACTTTCTTTCAGTGACCGACCCAGAAAGGCTTCACTTTATCTGAAAATGCCGAGCGTTTTTTTTTTTTTCGGAAGAAAGAGTGCAAATTGTTTCGCTTTACCGGCACGAAGTGAAACAGCATGAAATTACCAATATTATGAACCGACCTTTGTCTACTGTAAATAAAGTTTGCCAGGCATACCGCGATGGACTCCGTGATTACCAACCGTGCTACAATACTCGCCGTAGGCTGAAGCAGTTAAACCTCTGTATTTTTTTATTTTGTTTATTTCAAATACCGTAAGTGAACACAAGCAGAAATATTGCACTATAGGGGGATCACGCAGTGCTGCCACACCGGATGTGCGGGCCTGTCTGTGTCAATGAATGGTGGACGGCGCGCACTATGCTATTGATAAGGCTTGTGCCACGCGTTCCGCTGTTCGCGTTTCATTTGATGCCGATAGTACAACACGCGGACTGTGCGTACTGCACCGCGCTGAGCCTCAAACATGGCGGTATACACACGATGGCCGACAGATGGCAGCAATTTTGCATAAGGTCTACTGGGTTGACGATAGTTATAGCGCGAGAACAAAACGACGACACAGAGACAAGAAGGACACGAAAGACACGAGCGCTAACTTCCAACTGAGTTTATTGCGCAGAGCACGAAAATATATAGAGGAGACAGTGACCATGTGATAAAAACCATATGGCACAAAGAGCAGAACATGAGTAAGAAAAACAAAAAACACAAAAACAAAGGCACTGAAAAACAGCAAAGAAAAAACCTAGACGAAAACGAAATAGAAAGGTAAAGATAAAATAACTACCTGCCCGCACCGAAACCTTCGAGGAACCTGCGTTCCTTCTCGAACAAAGCCACGGAGGGCTTGCTAATGCAAGGCACCTGTTCGCGTGCCATCTGCGCGGCCTCGACAATGACCCGTGTGCTTTCATCTCTGTGTTTGTACAGCGTCGCTGTGTCCTTGAAGAGGGGAACGCAATTGCACTCAGTGCAGTGCTGGGCAAGAAAACCATCTTTCCCGTTTCTAACATTGTTCGCGTGCTCTCTCAGCCGATCGTTCAGACACCTTCCGGTCGTTCCGACATAACAAGCACCACATCAAAGGGGGGTCCTATGGACGACTTCCCGGGAGCAGGCCGCATACCTGTTTCGATGTTGAACTCTGCATTCTGTTGCTGATTGCGTTTTCAGGGGGTTGGTAGATTTGGTGAGGCTGATTAATTTGAACGGTGCCGAGAACAGGACACGAACTCCAACACGTTTTCCGATTTTTTTGAGCCTGTGTGATATCTGGTGTATGTATGTAATCACGGCTATCCTTTCACGTTCTGTATCCGTGTTGCTAAGATTCTGTCGCTTCCTCTGCTCTGCCTTATTAGTCCACCGGATCGTCTCAGCAACAGACGCGATAAACGCTTCGGGGAAACCTAAAGCCTTAAGGCGGGAAACTTGAGCTTTGAAGCTCGCAGAGATATTGTGGGCGCACGACCTATTTAAAGCATTCTCAAGGCAGGTTCGTACTATGCCTCAACGCGGAACGCCCTACTCCGAACTACAACCACTGTACTCCGAACAGTCCCAGAGGATGTTGTTCTGCGAGGAAACGCCGCCGCAGAGGCAGCAGCGTAGATTGATGACACCTGGGTGGATGTACGAATACATGAGGGGAGACGGAAAAGTGCAGGTCTGAAAGCGATGCCAGAGAACAACTTGGCGACGCCAGGTGATCTCGGACCGCTTTGAAAGGCTGCAGCGAGGGGATAAATAAGCGAATCATTCTAGGCGATAGTGCTGGGTGATGTAGTAGCATGCCATCAAGGTTTCCAGCAGCGGGGCGTGTAATGGTATTGTAGAAACGATTACGTGATTATGTTTTAAATTATTGGGGTAATGGGGCCCTCTTTTCCCTCGAGCGCAAAATGTTTTTAGCCCAGTGGTCAGCACACTCTCCCCGGAGCCTTGGGGCACATGTTCGAGCAAAAAAGTTCTTTAGGTGGTGCTGGTTCAAGTCCCGGTGCCACACACACATGGATGTTTTGTCCTATTTATTTATAGTGACAATCACCTTAACAGGGTGCGGTTGCTTGGACAAAATTTTCGATTTTATTATTGTTTCCTGCTTACGATTAATGACCAAGCACACAAGAGGTTCAAAAATGTGAAAAATGTGCTTGTGAGCAAGCTTTGAAAACTTGCATATTTTAAAGTGGCAGCTTTGGATACTATTGTATACCTGACGTCAGGTCACGGCATCAGCATTTCGTCATCTGCTTATGCAAAGCAGACACGTGCTCGCACAAGTTCGAACTAATAAATTATACTCTGAAAATGCGGCTGTCGTTATTTCACCACTATGAGCTTTATTATTAGAAGCTGTGAAAAATATCAGTTTCTTTAGGTGAGGTCATGAAGCTCTAACGTCAGTTTCATTAACTCTATGTGTACTAAAATGTACACGGTATTATAAGAGTGAATTACCAACACAACAGACTGGTCATAACACGAATGTCTTGTCACACATGTCATGTGCGCCGTGACGCACATCACTCGGTCATGGAGCTTACTTTAACGGCTGTTTTATTAACTCAATGTGTACAAACTTTGCATGCCATGGTGTTAGTATGTGATGACCTTAAATGAGTTGTCATTAGACGAAAATCATGTCATGCCTGCCATGTAGATCATGGCATTTTATGACCCGGTCATGGAGCTCTAACTCCGTTTTGTTAACTTGATGTAGACCATAACTGGCATGACATGGTAGTGACGCATTGTGACATAAAGAAATATTCATAACACCAAAATTCTATCATGCAAGCCACTTAGGTCATGACATATATGACCCATTCATAGAGCTGCAAGGGCCATTTGATTAACTTGCGTAGCAAATTTGCATGTCACGACAGATCTAATCACGTGATATAGTCCGCGTGGTCTTATTTAGACATACTCATTTGTCCCACTGGCTAGGCAATCTTAAGTTACACGAAATTCAGTTGCTCAGCTTAGCTTCATCTGTCTAAATCTGGATTGGCGTAATGTGGTATTACTGAGGCATCCAACTGCGGCTAAGCCATCTCGCACTCAAAATTCACTTATTGTGCATTTGCTTAATACTGATAAGCTTCATCAGGCTTAAATGGGTATTGACACGTCCGAAATGGACCAGTAAGCATGAGTGCGCCCTGACCGTGTCTACTGAGTCCATTCGTTCTGAGAGCGTGAGGAGTCATTCAGAGATCCCATAACTATAGTGAACTAAAACATACATGTTCTAGTTCACTATATGGTTGACCCTCCTCCGGGCGCTAGCTTGAATCGCACAGTGCGCCACCTATATAGTTCATGGACATTACGAATATTGCAGCGTATGGCAGTGCAAATTGGGTGAAACACACACACGTCAAAAGAAAGCGTTTTTATTTATACGGGTGGATATCGTAAAGTCAGTTGAAGGTTAGCGCTTGTGTTGTCTCCTTGTGTGCGCATTCGTTGTCTCATCCAGTGTGCACAACCGTATGACGTAATGAACTCGCCCGCTAGTACGTTTTAGGCAAATATCGCTTTTTTTGTTTATCCGCTAAGCTGTGTGGGCTGGTGCTGCACTTACACGGGAAAAATTTATTACACGGTACGCCGACAATCAGCAGGAATGAAATTTTCACCGCCATCACTATAGCTACCATGGATATGCATGGAATATAAGAGCGAAGTGATTTGTTTCCTTCTGCATTCATTGCTGCAAGTAAGTGTACAATTATGAAAGCTGGACCCCCCCCCCCACCCGTTCCCTCTAAAAACATAGTCGAATGAGAATACATGAACTTCCAGCTTTCCTGCCGCACCCCCCCCCCCCCTCCGCGTCTGGATGAACTCATTTCGCGCGTGCGCTTCCATCTTTAGTGCAA